CAATCATTTACCAACTACATCTGTGTTTATTAGTATCTAATTTATTTTATCAGTTTAATTTGTTATTTGTAAACATATTTTTATTTAATTTTTTTCAATAAAGTAATAATAATGTCAGTTTTCAATTTAAAATTGACCCAGGCATATCTGAGAAATGATTGATAACATGTTGAAGTGTTGTTTCTTGAGAAAAAAAAAAGACTGCTAGTTAATCAGAGAGGGCAAAAAAAAGTTGAGATATTTATGTATGACATTATGTCTTGTCATTGAACAAAATCTGTCAAGATATGTCAAAACATGAAAATAAAACCAACATGGCTGCCAGTAGGCCATTTTGAATCTAATCATGAAACATAATAACATGCATCTGTAATCCACCCTGGGTGATGTCAATGCCAAAATTGAAAATAAAATTGGCAGTGGAATGCCAGCCAGTTGTTAACATGTTGGAGTTTTGTGCTTAGATTTTCATTCAAACCCTAAATTACTGAAGAGAATCATTGATCCTATAAGAGAATGTGGAAGCCATTAAGTCTAGCATTTGTACCAATGTTTTCTTTTTTCCCAGTGTTCATGGCAGCTAATTTGCATATTTTAGAGATCAATACTTTGTTAGAGAGGATTAGCATATCAATAATTTTTTTTTTCTTGAAAAATCCCTATACTTAAAATGCCTGTCAGCTTCTGTTAAAACCGTTGTATATATTCACCTAAAAAATGAAAAAGCTAAAGATGAGTTTATAGAATTACAGTTTAACTTATAAGTGAAACGAAATTAGATGCAATTCAAATCATTGTCATCCTCCCTGCTATCATTATTTCAACATGTTATCATTCCCAGGAACATGAAGTGGAGAAAATGTTTCCACTAAGAACGGGACGTCTACCAACAAGTAACGTCAGAAATGTAATATTTATAACAAGGCCCAAACTGCAACTCATGGAATTTGTGGCTCAAAATATCCACAAAGAAGAGGAGCTTGGCACCTATCATAGAAAAGATTTTCACCTTTTTTTCGTTCCCAGGAAAAGTTTACTGTGTGAGAAAAGACTTAAGGTATTACATATTGTTCTGATAACACTCATTAGATTTAAGCACCTAAATTATTTTTGCCAAAAGATGTATGATCATAACAAAATTTTTAACATCAAGACATTACGATAAAAGTGGTATTTATTCACTGGGCTGTTATTTCATTATTGTCACTGATAAGTGAAATCAGCTACATTACATGTAACTCCATATATCAATGTAAAATTAAATTAAAACTTCAATTCACAATCCAGTGAATATGTTTACAATATCACAATATCAATGCTGCCAGTTTGAGTTTGTAGATCTGATGTCAAAAATGGTTGTATACATACCAAAAAATAGTAGAGAATCCCCAGAAATTGGTATAAAATTGCACAATGATACATTGTGGATGAGACACTGTATATGACATTTTTTAAATTGATAAGAACAGGTTGTGACTAACATGGGATTCTCTCACAAGATACTGTAAAATGACTAACTTTCACTGGGTTTAAATTTTGCTGATTTAGCATTTCAGGCATATTCAGTGGGTTTTAAATTCACAGTTTTATCATTTAGATAATGTGTTCTATGCTCAATTTTACATATTCACTGGGTTTTAATTATGCGCATTTTCCAGTCAGCAAAATAAGCAAAATTAAAAAGCAGTGAACCCTTTTACAGTAGGTCTATGAACCACCTGACAGATGGACACAATCTTAGTATTTGCCATCTTATTGTGTAATCATTTATAAGTTACAATTTGCATTTTCTAAAACAGTAAGATGTTACAGCGTGCTGAAACTTAAAGGTAAGCAATGACAGATGTGAAATAATAATTGTTATTTTCAGGAGCTGGGTGTGTATGGTACATTTAGTAACGTGGATGAATATAACTTGGATATATTACCGTTTGATAATGATCTCTTGTCGACTGAGATGGAACACTCTTTTAAGGTGAGCTGAATTGATCCTGAAAGCATTGCAGCCATGCATCACCATATATGACGTAATGATGTTTGTTTCTCAGGTCCGATTTATTTCATATTCATTTCATTTGTGACTTGCTACAACTCCCCATACTGTAAAATACTTTATTTTAGCTGGAATTAATTTTCGCTGAAAATACTTTTTGGGTATTTTGTAAGGAATTTATTTTCACTGATTTTTGACTGAGTTGAATGTAAAATATAGGAAAAAAGGTATATTCGCTGGATTTAATTTTCACTAAATCATATTTTCAGCGAAAATTAATTCCAAGCAAAAATAAAGTATTTTACAGTAACTAGGACCCCAGTGAAATGCTCACTGCAAAAGCATTTCACAAATTTACATGACCAATGTATATTTATCTCTTATGACCAAAAGACCCAAATTCAGGCAGTATTACATCGTAATCCCTGTAAACTTGTTTTGTGTTGTTACAAAGCCTATGTGAAAATGATTTATTTATATCTAATTTATTATGATTTACTTATAGGAATGTTTCCTGTTTAATGATATGACATCAATGTATTATGTTGCTAAGTCATTGATGATGATACAA